ACATTTTTACTTTTCTTGGTAAATTGCAAAATGCTGACAATACAAGTGCACTAAATATCAACACATTTTACATCTTTGCTAAAAATTCCTAGTTTGTTTTTAGTCTTTAAAATGGTGCAACCAAATCATTTATTCTCACTTCCCACTTTTTTTTTTTAAGGTTTTTGCCATAGGGCATGTTCACTCACTCTCCAGAGAGAGACAGAGAGGAAGGGAAAGTGAAAAATCACCCTGCAGGGGGATGACTACAGCAATTGTTTCTCCTCCATTCTCCTTTTGGGGTCTTTGGCATGAATGCACACAAGCCCAGCATGATTTTTAAGCCACTAGGTCTGGGATTTGAACTATGGTCAGCCAAGTAGGAGTTCAGCACCTTAACCACTATGCCACCTGCTGGACCCCTCACTTGTCACTTTTATTAGAAGCATGAGCTTTTTGAAAAGAAAACTCTATTCCAAATCTATTATTTATATTTCTATTGATAAATTCACAAACTGTAGAAATATGTTTGCCCTACTCATATCAGGCATACAATGAAGTATAGTGTTTGTTTTTTCTATTAAGTTGTTCAGTCTGGGACACAATAAACTTGGGTCACTTTCTATTTCCCAGGACCAGAAAAAAATGAAGATACATGGAAAGAGTAGTTTTGCAGATGAGTCTTACATAAATATTAATGATTGGAATTTAATGCAATCTAGGAAAGCAAAATTATTTTTCTAGGAGTCAAGGAAAATTAAGACTAACAGGAGTGGACCAACAGGTGGCATGGAGGTCAAAGCAGCTGGATCCCACATGGGCTACTGCACTGTTTGAGTCTCAGACTGGGGATGAGGGGGCTTGAAATCACACCGGGTGTGTGTGCATGGGTAAAATTCTGAAAAGAGAATGAAGGAGAAGGGATTGTGGTGTGGTTTTCCCCCTGGGGGGTGATTTCTCACTTTCCCTCTCTCCTTCTGCCAAGTGCACCCACCCTATAGCAAAAATTTAAAAAATAAAAAGACGAATAGGAATGCTGGCATTAAAAGGCAAAGAGTTTTTGAATAACTCATCATTTAAATAAGACACAGGTTTAAATCACTGTAGTTAATACACAAACAGCCTAGATAGGAAAAAATAAAACTATTGGATTTAGATTTGAACCCCGTGTTAAGTAAGAGAGTGAATTATAGTAGTCTCCCCTTATGCGAGCCCCCCAGTGGATGCCTGAAACTCTGGATAGCACTGAACCCTATATATATATATAGTAGTATATATATACTATGTTTTTCCTATACATATATACTTGTAATAAAGTTTAATTTATAAATTAGGCCCAGTAAGATAGTAACAATAACTAATAATAAAATAGAGCAATTGCCTCAAAGCAACTCCCCGAGCTTTGGTGCCATTGTTATGTAAAATAAGGGCTACTTGAATGAATGGAGATACCAGGACAGTCTAACTGGGAGGGCTCCTAAGTGCCTAACCCAGCTGGTGTTGATGGCTGTGGAGAAATAAAGCAGGGAAAGACAGAAGGGCTGAGGAGAGTGAAACTAAACAGATATCAAGGGGAAGATGTCATTAAAAAGGTAATATTTGAACAATGATTCAAAGGAGTTGAGGGACTGAGCTATGTGGCTCCCTGGTGGAGAGCATGTAATTTAGAATAACCAGCATGTGCAAAGACCCTGAGATAGGAATGTGCTCGGCATGTTGAAGGACCAGCAAGGACACCACTGTGGTTGAAGTAGCAAGTGAGGGGCATGAGAGCAGTAGAAGTTGATGTTAGAGCATGAACACGGAGCAAGAGCATGAAAGGTGTTTAAACCATTTTGAGTATTTTTTGCTTTTACTCTAAGAGAAGCATGTAATACGATACCATTTATTTTTATTTGCCAGTGGGCATGTGCACTTGCTAGAAAGACATAAAAGAGAAAGAGAGGGAGAAAGCAACCCCCAACAGGAATGTGGTCATGCCACAGTCTCTTTTCCTCTTTCTCTCCATCCTGTCAGGATTTTGGGCCCCCACACACACTCACCCAGTGTATTTCTCAAGCTGCCAGGGCTAGGGTTCAAACCATGGTTAGCCATGTGGGATCCAGTTTCCTTAACCACCAGGCCATGTGCCCAGTCCCTTGTAATATTGATGCAGGAATTTGGGGTGATCAGACTGAAGACCAGTACTGCAAAATGACCCATCTTACGCTCATGAAGAATTAGAGACATGGACACCAAGAAGGGATGGTAAAGTAAGGTTCATTAAGAGAAGAAAGACACAGAGCTCCCAATCAGGGAGAGGTCCCAGTAATGAATTGCTAAAGAGGAGTTGAGGCGAAGCGTTTTTATCCCAGCAAGGAGGGACTTGTGTATGCATTTCCCTTATAGAGAGTCCATATCAGGTGATTTATATAATTTTTTCTCCTATTTGGAAGTGGGCTTACAAAACACAAGACCTGAGATCTTCAGATCTTAATTTATTAACTAAGGTCTGTGGCCCATAAAGCTTCTAGTTTTGATCATGTTTTATACAAGTCTAAAATGAAGCCTTGTTTTTTTATTTTCCCTTGTGCTTCCAAAATGTAATCTCATTTAAGCTCTCTTATCATACAAGTGCTAACCTGCATGTCATGTTCCCATTTTTCAAACAATTGCTCAAGGTTTTTTGCACTCTTGCTCTCCAGACTAGGAGACTATACTCTGTTTGGAATGTAGTAATGATTTGAAAAAATGCTCACTTCAATTGTCATTATCTCAGGCAGGCTGCAAGCAGCTTTCTATTAAGCAAGTAGTGAGAGCTAATAATTTATTTTTAGCAACAGCAGTAAATAATTTTTATTACAGGCTTGACTATAGTGACTCCATCTCATCTTGTATTCTTTATTCCATGGAATCTCAACCCTATCTACCTAGGCAGAGATCTTATTCCAATTTCAATGTGATACAATCTAACGTGTTTCACCAATCTTCCCATCTTGTTTCTTGAAAATCCTATTTGGCTAATCTACACAGTGTATGCTTGAAGCTGTGCCCTCTGAGAGGAAATCTTTTTGCCACTGTTCTTCAAGATAATCCTTAAGAGGATCTCTATAATACAACCACAGGCTACTTTGGGTTATACCAGTACATAATGCAGAACCATCCAGGCTCAAAAGGTTTCTTTCTCAGTCAGCTGGACTTAGTGAACTCTCCATGAGGCCTCAGATGGAGAGAGGAAGGCAGTGTGGCTGGACCAGACACTTGGGAGTGTGACTCACATGCTCTTGAAAATGTATTGGGCTTTTGGGACTGACTGAAGCCTGTGCTTGCTTACATCTACCACTCTCACTTTCTGAGAGTGATACGCCCACTCAATATACTAGCTTGGTAGATCAGAGAAGCTCTACATGTGAATTTTTAATTTCTGGTTTTATTGCTTTGAAATAAAATGTTTTCGATTGTTTACTTTTTACAAATTTTAAGGTTTATATTATGGTTAACATTTGTAAATCCCTTGAGTATGTGAAAAGGTATACTGTGTTTTTATGGTACAGACTGGTATTTTTTAAGTAGATCCACCTCATTGCTATTCATACTTTTTTTTTTTTTGAGAGTTTTTTGCTATAGGGTGCATGCACTTGCCAGAAAGACAGAGAGAGAAGAGAGATAGAAAGCGAGAAATCACCCCCCAGGGGGGATGACCACACCGCAATCCCTTCTCCTCCATTCTCCTCTTAGGATTCTGGGCACGCACACACACAGGCACCTGGCATGAATTTAAGCTGCCGGGTCTGGGATGCAAACTGCGGTCGACTACGTGGGAGTCCGGCGACATAGCCATTACGCTAACTGCTGGTCCCCATACATTTTTTTAATAGAGATATTTTTGCAATGGGGCACACACGCTCACCAGAGAGACAGAAAGCAAGAAATCACCCCCCAAGGGGTATGACCAGGATGCAATCCCTTCTCCTCCTGTCTCCTCTTGGTATTTTATGTACACATGCACACGCACATGCACCTGGCATGAGTTTTAAGCTGCTGGGTCCGAGATTTGAACTGCAGCCAACTACATTGGAGACTAGTGACATAACCATTACGCCGTAACTTGGTCCTGCTATTCATACCTTTTATTATCCTTAATATTCATATACTTAACTGCATGAACTGAGAGAAGTTAACTAAAATCTTTTTTTTTTTTTTTGCTAGAGGGTGTGTGCACTCACCATAGAAACACAGAAAAAGAGAAAATGAGAAAACACCCCCTCGGGGAATGGCCACACTGCAATCTCCTCTCCTCCAATTCTCCTCATAGAATTCTAGGCATGCACATGCACCTGGTGCTTTTCAAACTGCTGGTTCAAAGTCCTGAATCACACAGTCAACCATGTGGGTTCCAGCCGTCTTAACCACACCACCAGCTAGCATCCCTTCATTTGTTTGTTTTCTTGGTATACCTTTGTCCATCCTTTTATTTTGCTTTAGGTTTATCTTGTATCCCATCTAGGTCTTTTTGCCTCAGGTAAGTTTAGCCCATTTACATGTATTAATATGACATATTCAGGTTTAGGTTTACTTCTGTCCCGATTAGCTAGGCACTTTTTGCATGTTCAAATGATGTCATGAGGTACTGTTTTCTTGCTTTGCTTTATTTGTATGTTTCTGTTCTCAAATTTGTACACAGGATTTAATCAGGTATGACAGGATGACAAACTGGAGACACCTGCTTTTAAAAGAATTTACTTACCTTTCCCAAAAAAAGGGGGTATACCGTGCCATGCCACAGCAGGTCACATGAGGAAACCAATGCTAAGATCCAGGAGGCAGAAGCAGCAAAGGAAAAGTTAGGGCAGAGACATTATCACAGTGGGGTAAACTGTTAGGCCCAAATGTCCCCATTGTTGGAACACAGATGGGGTTTATGGTTGTTGGGTTTGTAATATGTTTTTTTAAAAGGAATTATTTAATTTATTATTATTATTAAATTTGACCAGAGAGAGTGAAAAAGCAAGCTACCAGGTCTGGGACTAGAACTACAGTCAGCCATGTGGGAGTATATCACCTTAACCTCAGTAATACGGTTTTTGAGTGCCTGTGAGACCTAGATTGTAGGGAAGCAAAAGACTTTGGCTGTCTGTTTGGCACAGTGATTAATGATAACAAATACACTAATACAGAATCTATGGAAACAGTTTTTTCTGATAAACTAGTTTTATATTATATTTTTCGGTAACTTAAAACATTAACCTTATTTTCCTCTTTGAACAATGATGAATTTATATATTTCCTTCTCTCTTTCCTGTCTACTACTTTATTGTGGTTGATATTATCTGTGTTGACTTCTATGAAAAATGCTTTTAATTCTATTCATAGATTTATCAGCTTTAAAGATCTCTTAACCCTCATTGTAGCCTTTAAAAATAAAGACATCATCATATTTACACTGCTATCTACCTTTTCTCTCCTTCCCTTTTTGAAAATCAGTATTTAATATTATGCTCTATGGCAATAATCTTCACATTTATTTTAGCTTTGGTTCTACAGTTAAACTTTCCATGTACTTTGCCAGTTTTTTTGTTTTTTTGTTTTCCGTTTATCTCCTGATTTGCTAACTTTTCTTAGTAGATTCTCCAACAATGGTTTATATTTCCTGGGTTCTTATATGTTAGAAAGTGTTTACTGGCTTTTTACATGAGTGAGTTTGGCTAGCAGTCCAGTACCATTTGAATCCTCCCATAAAATAAAGGAAATTCTGGTTTTACTGGTCTTATCTCCCTAAAGTAGAACTGGGCAAACTCTCTGACATCCTATGAAAGGAGCATATAAGGGGACTTCAGAATGTTCATGGAAACATGACATTAAATGAGTTATTCTGGGTGCAGAAATTTTGTAATCCATGTATAGTTTTTTCTTAATATGCATTTTTCCATGAACTTTTGAAAACTGCTCATATAATCCAACCTTCTTCAATCAGATACTTTTAGAGGAGATTTCACTTTTGTATTCAACAATTTAAAAAGGCCCCTGACAAGTCCTTTTGTTGCCACTTGGGTACGGAAGGGGCATCCCTCCCACTTTCTGCAGAGGCAGTGGTTCCTGGTACAGAAGCAGCACTGGTGGGGCATGGAGCCAGTAGCATTCTCCTCTGGTGCCCCATGTGCCAGCAGGATAGTAGCAGCTTCCTTATTAGGCCAATTCTAAGCACCATTTCACAAATTACTTACTCCAGAAAGCTTACCTCTGGTTAGTGGGCCTTCTAACAGATCCCTGAGCTAACCAAAATCCTTTCAACAAACTTCTCCAGCTTTATCAGTTTCTGTTTGTAACCAAAACCATATAAACTACAGCCTGCAGGCCAAATCAAGTCCCTTATCTACTATTATTAAATGGTTCCAAATAATCCAGAGTATTTTTTATTCTTGACAGGTAAAGGCTTGTGTTTATGTACATTAGAAGGGATGTGCCCTTGCCAGAAACAAAAAAATAGAGAAAGGAGAAACCATCCCTCCATGGGGAATGATCACGCTGGGATGCCTTCTCTGTCTTCCTCCTTTCAGGATTTTGGACACACATGCACATGTGCCCAGTGTGTTTCCCCAACTTTCAGGTCTGGGATTCTAACCATATAGCCAAGCCATGTGGAATCCAGCTGCCTTGACCATGGGGTCACAGAGCCAGCCCGACACAGAAAGATTTTGAAATACAAATTTTAGTGTCCATAAATAAAGTTTTATTGGAACACAGACATGGTAATTTGTTACGTATTATCTGAATGCTTACTCAGACATTTGATACACAAAACTGTAAAATATTCATAAAAATAAGACAAATCAAAAGTACAACTATTATTACTTTATATCTTTTATATAAAATTATTTATTTTTAGCCTTATGGAAAAGTTATAAAAAATTAGCACATGACTACCACTTCTTTAAATTAGTTTACCATATCTATTACTTCTTCCCTACTACAACATTTTGGGGACATCATTTTTCAGAGAACAGTATATTTTTTAAACATATTCTCAATTATTAAGATGGCTTTATGCTAAGAAGCCCAGAAAGCCTTGACTTGGTAAACTCCTTTTACATAGTCTGAAGCTGGTAAACCTTTGGGCCTTTTTTTAAGAGGTAACCTTGGTCATTTAGTGATCCAATGAAATTCTCAAAATCAGCAACCTGGAAGACAATATCAAGAGTTATTAGTACATGAAGTAGTATGTCAAACTATGAATTTTTAAAAATTGAAATCCCAAACAATAATATACAACTGTCAAGTTTCTTGAGCAAGTAAAACTATTTTATACTTTTTACAGGGCAAACTGCCTACTTTTGAGCTCTGAATCCTATAATGCCAAAATAAATAAAAATAGAAACTCCAGTATTCAAAGATACTTTTATGTTTGTTTTAGCTTAGCTTAAAAGCAAAAATTAAGGCCAACTAGTGGCACAGCAGTTAAGGTGCTGGATCCCACATGACTGACTCTGCAGTTTGAATCCCAAATCTGGCAGCTGAGAAACAACTGTGCATGTGTGTGCATGCACAAAATCCTGAGAGGAGAATGGAGGAGAGACTGTGGTGCAAGCATCTCCCGGGGGGCGATTTCTCACTTTCCCTCTCTGTCCCTGCCTCTGGCAGGCTCAGGTGCCCAGCAGGCTCACGTGCCCTATGGCAAAAACATAAAAAACAACAAATAAAATTAGACTAGCCTTTGAAATTAAGTAAGCAAGTCCAGCTGCCCTAGTGAGCACTGTAAGCACTGCTACTTGGCAGTCTGAGGCTCCATGGGAGACCTCGGTTTGATTTCTGGCCCACTGAAAAGTTAGGGATGGTGGCACATTCTTGTAACTACTTAGAGGATGAGGCAGGAGGATGGCTTAGAAATTCAGTGGGAGGCCAGCAGGTGGCATGGTGGTAAAGCTGCTAGACTCCCACACAGCATACTGCAGTTTGAGTCCCAAACCTGGTGGCTTACTTTGTCTCTTTCTCTCTCTCTTTGGTGAGTGTACATGCCCTGTAGAAAATTAAATAATAATAATTGATAAAATTAAATAATTCTCTTTTTTTGCCCTAGAGGTTTCTGCCTTAGGACACATGCACTTGCTGGGGGGAAGAGAGAGAGATAGTGAGAAAGTGAGAGATCACCCCCTGGAGGGATAGCCATACCATAATCCCTTCTCCTTAATTTTCCTCCCAGGATTGTGGGCACACAGGCACATACACACATACACCCAGTGTGGTTTTCAAGCCACCAGGTTCTGGAAAGCAAACTGCAGTTGGCCATGTAGGAGTCTAATGACATAACCACTATGGCATCTGCTGGTCCCAAAATTAATTTTTTAAAAAAATTTTTTAAAAATTCAATGGGCAGTTTTCCATATAAACTATTTTACCTATTTAAAGTGGAATTACATTGATTTACACTAGAACTTTTAGTAGGAATAAGAGGTGGAATCCCATCCACTTAAGAGACCAGGAAACTGAGGTTCCAACCTATAAAGTGACTTGCTCATAAGGGACTATCAGAAACAAATGGAGACTGAGTCTCATTAAAGTACTTCCCTCTAACCATCAAGATCCTGAAAAACCTGAAGAAAAGGTGGTGTGGGGGACCAGCAGTTAGCGTAATGGTTATGTCACTGAACTCTCACATAGCCGACCGCAGTTCGAATCCCGGACCCGGTGGCTTAAACTCACACCAGGAGTATGTACGTGCCGTGCCCAAGATCCTGAGGAGAATGGAGAAGGGACTGTGGCGTGGCCATCCCCTCCTGGGGGGTGATTTCTCGCTTTCTGTCTCTCTCTGTCTTTCTGACGAGCGTACGCGCCCTATAGTAAAAACTTATCAAAAAAAAAAAAAAGAAAGAAAGAAAGAAAAGGAGGTGTGAATCTTAAATAAAAACTGGTTTTGTTCTACTATACATAAATAAGGACCTCCTCAAATTATTACAAAAAAGAGACTTATTAAATATTTCATTTCTCATACCTGAATGTTTAGCTCTTTGGCAATCTGCCGAAGTTGATGAAATTGAAATAAGTTGTTATAAGTTCTTTCAGCAATGTTGTTGAGAGCTGAAATAAATCTTTTTGCTGTTGACCTGTTGCTCATTCCAGAACCATGCTGGGATCGCTCAAAATCTAGGTTCCCAAATTCATCAGAATAAGTACCTAGCATGCTTAAAGAGGGAAGAAAAATGTTACTCCATGTGGTGTGGTGGTAGAAATTTTTCTCCTGGGTTTCCAGGTTGTAAGATGAAAAATTTAGGAGGAGCTATGAGGCTCATTGAGCAAATATTTAAGCATGTGTTGACTGAGTGGTCACTTGGAAATTCACTGTAGTATGAACTTTAGGGAGGATAAAAATATTTTAGACAGTTAACTGTTTTTAAGAAACTTCTAAATCTTGAGAGAAATGCATAAGATCACAAAGTTGAAAAACTATAAGTATTTGGAGCATTCTTCTTGATGTATGAAAAAAATAAATACTACACTTAATAAATTTAGGCTTTAATAGGTAAAGACAAGTTCCCATCTCCTGGTATGGCATGTGACAAAGAGTATTTAAAGATACTGCAGAATAAACTAGAAGGCTTATATTGACTTGTAGCAATGGTTAAACAGTAAAGGATATGCCTATTACCTTCGGTTCTTTGCTTTCTCTTATATCATAATATCACTAAGGAAGGAAATATGCACTTGACAGTGAGTTTTATCTAGAAATCTGAAAATACTATTAGGTTGTTAAAAAGTCATGATGTATTTTTTCTATGCAAAAATGTGCCATGACTTCCTACAACTCAATAGTTAAAGATATAATTAACTATCCTCTCTAACCCAGTTCTATTGCCAATTTCTAGCCTGTTCACTGGAACACACATAATTTCACAACCAGGTGAACAGGCAAGACATTTAATAAAGACAGGAGCAAGCCTTCTCAAATACTTACCTGTGGGTTGACTATAGATCTATGTGAACTTATTATCCATTCAAAAAAATAATGTTTTTTTTTTTTTTAAAGAGAGATTTTTGCTATAGGTTACATGTACTTGCTGGAGAGACACAAAGCAAAAAATCATCCCCAGGGTGTTGGCCACACTGCAATCCCTTCTCTCTTCTTCTCTCGGGAGTTTGGGCACGCTTCCAGCATGAGTTTCAAGCTGCTGGGTCCAGGACTCAAACCATGGTCCACTATGTGGGAGCCCAGCAATGTAACCATTTCATCATTGGCTGGTCCCCTAAATGCTGATCCCTATAATCTTTACATTAAAAAATTTGGTGGGGACCAGCAGATGGCAAAATGGTTACACATAGTGGACCATGGTTTGAGTCCCAGACCCAGTGGACTGAAACTCAGGTGTGTGTGCCCAAAATCCGAGAGGAGACTAGATAAGGGATTGTGATGTGGCCATCCCCTCTGAGGGGGGTGATTTCTCGCTTTCTGTCTTTATCTCTTTGGCAAGGGCACACATCCTGTAGCAAAAATCTCTCAGAAAAAAGATTATTTATACATTCAGAAATATCTTCAACCAAGAAAGCAGAGCTTGGTTAGAGGAAAATAAATAATTTAATGGGATAAATAAAAGTAATTTTGCTGGGACTAGCAGTTGGCATAATGGCTATGTGGCTGCACTCCCATGTAGTTGACCACGGTTCGAGTCCTGGACCCGGCAGCTTAAACTCACACCAGGCACGTGTGTGTGCATGCCCAAAATCCCAAGAGGAGAATGGAGGAGAAGGGATTGCTGTGGCCATCCCCCGCAGGGGGTGATTTCTCGCTTTCTGTCTTTCTGGTGAGCGCATGCGCCCTATAGCAAAACCTCTCCAAAAAAATTAAGTTATTTTCCTTGGTCTAAATATATCATTTTAGATGGACCAATAACTGGCATTTCATTTAAGACAGCATTTAAAGTTTTGATCTTACCTGTATTTCATAATTTCAACTATATCCTCAGCATCTTCTTTGGTTGCTTCCTCTCTCAATTCCAACCTTGCTCGTGCCTTTGGACAAAAACAACTGTCTTCAGATGTCAAAAGATTTATACATTTACCATTATCAAAAGATGTAATATACAAAAGATATTTATTTATTTATTTATTTATTTACCATTGTTTGAAGGGGTATAGAGGTCTAATTTTATTTCATGTACTCATTTTTCACAAAATTAATTTTTATGGGGAGGGAGGATGTAATATCAAAAGTCAGGATTTTAAAAAGTTATTTGAATACTTGAATATGAATACAACTAATTTAAAATATGGATAAAACTGATTTTTATGTACTAACATCTTTCTGAGAGTGTTCAAAAGATTTCACTATTAAATATATTTAATGTTTCTATGCTTTTTACTTTCAGGAAATTATGCATAACCAATTTGTTTAAACAACAAAAATTAATCAGATTTTAGGAACAAAAAGCCCAAACTCTGACCTAGCTTTTTTTTTTTTTTTTTTCTGCTAGAGGGCATGTATGCTCACCATGGAGAGACAAAGAGAGAGAGAGAGACAGAAAGAGAGGGAGAGAAGAAAGCAATCCCCCACTCCCAATGGGGAATGGTCCTGCACCATTCTTCCCTCCTCATCTCTTACCCTTTTTGGGATTTTGACCTGCATGCACATATGCCCAGAGGGCTTCTCAAGCCAGTGGTGCTAGGATTCAGACTTTGCAGTCAGCCACATAGGATCTAGCTGCAGAGCCAGCTAGATCACATCATAGGGCCAGCCCTGATCCAGCTCATTTTAACATCCAGAGTCCTCTTAGCATTCCACAGCTGTGAGTACTATTACCGCTGTTACAAACTCAGGCGTCATCCTTACAGAACAATCATTTAATCAAACCAAATACTCAAGATATTTGACACATTCTATGTTCCCATACACTCAATTTGGAATCCTAGATTCCTAGTTAACCTAACCACTCTTCAAAGACTCTAGGAATCTCCTACATGTCATTTAAATTAAAAAAAAAAAACGTTGCATGGTCAGTAACTGGTCCTGTGCTCAGAAGTGGCTGGGCCTTGGGATATGACTGATAGGACGTTATCTTTAAAAAAATGTTTCTCTATCCATTCCTAGTATTTCTCAAGTGGAAGGAAAACGTTGTCAATTACCTAGAAAATTATTCAAAAGAGAACTCATATTTTATTCTACCCACTTATCTAAGCCAGAAAAATGTAAAAATAAACCTCTGTTAAGCGAATCAAAGATTCCAGCTGCCGGGTAGTGATTGGTGAGCTGTTTAATCGCTGGCTCTGCTTCCGGAGTTCGAGGTAAAAATCTTGAAGCACTTGAGCAGCTTCTGTGGAGAGTCTCGGGGAGACATACTGTCGGGCGTAGCCAATGTACTTTCTCAACAGCTGGTGGGGAACTGGGTCTATGGTTTCTCCAGGAACCACCTGAAGCATAAGAAAAAAGACCAAGATGACAAGGATAAGTAGCAATAAAATCTTTCTGCTAAAATAACGTGTTTAGATAAATACAAAATTCTAGAAGACATATATAAAATATATAAGCCAAATAATGTGGTTGTAGTTCTCATTCTACTTGACTATTTTAAAGGAAATTTACATAAACTCTATTACCTTTAAGTGTTGGTATGAAAGTTTATATATTATTGCTCTACAGTAAGCCACCCACTGAACTCTGACATTCAAACAGAAAAAAAGAAATGATTAAGGAGAAGCATTTATACCTTTAGTCTTTCTGATAATGGTTTATCAGAAACCACTTCCAGTACAGAAGTATTTGAATCCTGACTGTTCATACGTGCTATGGTGGCACCGCTAACAACTCTGGGCTTCCCAGCTCTTATTGCAATCACATGTTCAGAGAGTAAGTGATCATGATGCTCATTTGGGGTGTCTAACAGGATGAAGACCAAATCAAATCTGGACAGCAGGGCACTCCCCATTCTAAAAGGAATGAAAGAAAGAAAATAAATAAACAACGACTGACATCAAAACAGTGTAGAAAATGTTTACTCACTTGCTTACTACTAAACTTATATACAGAACTTAAAATCATGCTTTGGGGTAAAGAAATCAGCAAGTAGCCTTTTGGATTTCATATATATATATATATGAATAAAATTTTTTAAGAATTATTTATTTATTATTTTTTCACATGACTTTTGCCAGAGAAAAACCAAGAGAGAGAGGGGAGAGTGAAAAACCAAGCCGCCAAGTCCGGGACTCGAACCACGGTTAGCCATGTGGGAGTTCCAGTGCCTTAACCACTACGCCACCTGCTGGCTCCTTGGATTAATTATATTAACCCACTTTGGCCTTTTGGATATATGCATAAAACTTAGAGATACCTACCCTTGGTAGGTTGAGGATATAGCCCTTTTTCACACCCTTAAAACCACTGAATTCTTCATGTTCTCTTATCACTAACTGAAATTAATGCTACATGATACTGTGGAAGACTGCATATTAGATCTTGTACATGAACAACTGTTTGTCCATTTTGTTCCCTTGCCCTAACATGGCTGTCTGCTTCTGTAAGCCTGCTTGCTCTTCCCATGAGAAAAGAGCTTGTGCTAGACATACAGAAAACCATATCTGGGACGACATCCTATAACCTGCTACTGTCTTTGCTAACTAGCCCGAAACCCTTTTGTTTAGCAATGTAACTGCCTGCATGGAAACCCCACTCCCCTCAGAAATAATTAACCTGCTTGATTCAGCTTCTGTAACTGCTTACATAGAAACCCCTGGTAACTGACCCCTACAAAAAGACTACTCAAACTTCGGTAGGGGCTGCAGTTCTGACTCTCGCCCCTCTACTCCCACCCGCCCCGGAGTCTCAGACTGTAGTCACTGGCCAGCTAATAAAGACTCCCTTTAAACTTAATCTGTCTTTGGTGGTCGTTCATTCAGTGCACTCTACAATACAAGGGGTCTTCAAAAAGTTCGTGGAAAATAGAAAAAATTATGTGGGCTAGCTGGTGGTCTGGTGGTTAAGGCAGCCAGATCCACAAAGTTGACTATACACCACTGGAGCCTTGAACCCAGTGGCTTGAAAACAAGCCAGGTGTGTGTGCCTATGTGCCTGTGTGCCCAAAATCCTGAGGAGGGAGAAATGACGGAGAAGGAACTGTGGTGTAACCATTCTCCACAGGCGGTGCTTTCTCCCTCTCTGGTAAGCACATGTGCCCTCTGACAAAAAGAAAAAGAAAACTAATAAACTCATACTTTAATTCCATTTCCATGAACTTTTTGAAGTACCCGAGTACATCAAAATTCTCTAGTTGAGTAGTTCTTAAGCTTTTGCCTCACCAAAACAGCGAGTCTTCCAAAGCATCTATGTTCCACTTAGAAGAAAAAGCCTACTTTTTCTTGAAAGAGCATCTATGTATCTATTATCATAAAAGTGTTGTGTTCTATTTAGTCATTTCCTCTAAACTCATCTATGTAGGTAATTCCTCTATTTGAGACACACACACAAACACAATGAAATACAGAGTGATTGAAGAATTTGACCAAGGCCCCAAAGCAGGTTTGTGATACAAGTTGAGTAGCCCTTGTCTGAAACACTTGAGACTGGAAATGTTTCTTTTAGATTTTGTAGTTTTGATTTTGTAATATTTACATACACATGATGCAATATGTTGGGAACAGAACCCAAGTCTAAACATGAAATTCATTTGTTTCACATACACCTTTTACACATAGCCTAAAGGTAATTTTATGCAGTGTTTTTGAACTGCAGCATTTTGACCGTGACCTGCTCAATGAGATCAGGTGGCATCATGCCAGCACTCAAAAAGTTTTGGGGGCCAATCTCATAGTCCAGCATTTAGGTGCTGTGCAGAGGGAGAAAGACGTCAACATGGGTGACCAGGGTTCAAGTCCCAGTCTCATAAGTGTGAAAAACACACTGGGTTTGCACACATGGCTGGGCTCCTGACAGGATGGAGAACTGAAGGAAAAGGGACTGCAGCATAGCCAGGCCCTGGGAGTATGCCCTCCCTCTCCCCTTCTCTGTGCATGCATCCTCTGGCATTAAACAGTTTGTGTGTGTTTGTGTGTGGAGGGGGTATTCTGAAGCATTTCAGATTTTGGACTTTTTGATTAGGAATATTCAACATCTACAAAAACCAGAATCCAAGTTCCCTGGATTTCTGTTCAATAGGATTTTTCTAATGCAGCACTTTGACACTGAACCAAAGAAAAACAAACAGGATGACATTTTTTGGTGGTGGTGACAGAGAAATAGCCCAGATCTTGAAGCATAATCAAGTACTTTTCTATGTACCAAAGACTACTCTATTAAATGTATACATTATTAAACAGTAGGAAATCAGCCTTCTCCCCACTATACTGAAGATTCTCATTTTTTTTGTATTTAACACTCGTCTTTTTCTTACTTTTACATTACTTGCATTTATTTTCTCCTTCAACCTGCACAGAACCAATAAGAGAAAGCACACACACAGACATAAACGTTGTTTCTGAACACAGTGGGAACACACCACAAGTATACAAGTATGTAACAAGACTCTTTTATTTATTTATTTATTTTTAATTTACTATAGGGCACATGCACTTGCCAGAGAAAGAAGGGAAAGTGAGAGAGCACCCCTTGGGGGGATGGCCACTCTGCAATCCCTTCACAATCCCTTCTCCTCCATTCTCCCCTTGGAATTCTGGGCATGGCATGTATAGATGCCTGCTTGTTTTTCAAGCTGCCAGGTCTGGGACTTGAACTGCACAGTTGGCCATATGGGATCCGGCCACCTTAACCAACACACCACTGGCTAGCTAGCTATGTAACAATGCTCTTACCACTTTCTGATAAAGCACAGACACATTCCCTTATTGATATATACAAAGCCACTTTCATTCTCATGACTGCAATTTTCTACCGTACGGTCTTACTATAGTTTTAAATTATTTCCACTCTTTGGCTGGTCATGCTGTAATACCCACCCTGTAAACATTGTTGTGTACTCATGGGACTATTTCTATGAGCAAGATTCCTAAAAGTAGAATGACTGAGACAAAAAGAATGTTTATTTAAAGTTGTAAAGAACAGGTTAAGTGTTTCTCCAAAATACTAAATTGTGGGGAGCAGCAGACTGCATAGGGCAAGTTATGTCACTGGACTCCCAGAGTCAACTGCAGTTCGAGTCCTGGACCTGATGGCTTAAAACTCATGCCAGGTCCATGTGCATGCATGCCTGCCCAAAATCCTGAGAGGATAATGGAGAACGGATTACAGCATAGCAATTTCCCCTGTGGGGGTGAGTTTTCACTTTCTTTCTGTCTCCCTGGCAAGCACATGTGCCCTATAGCAAAATCTCAAACTAAATTGTGTATTTGAGAACTCATTTCTCCATTTCTTTGCCAATAATAATGAAAATAATAACAACTATTATCATTATTATTATATTCACTATAGAACGCATGCACTTGCTGCAGAGAGAGACAGAAAGCGAGAAATCACCCCCCCAGGGTGGATGGTCATGCCACAATAACTTCTTCCATATTCTCCTCTTGTAATTTTGGGCACACACGCACACATGCTTGGCATGGGTTTCAAGCTGCTGTGGTTGACCATGTGGGAGTCCAGTGCCTTAACCACTATGCCACCTGCTGGTCCCATCAATAATTATTAATACTACATATTCTTAATATTGTGGCAGAGACAGAGAGGGATGGGAGAAAGCACTCCCCAATGTAGCATGGCCACACCACACTTCCCTTTTCCTCCAGCTCTCCATTCTGTCAGGTTTTGGGGTACACATGTACATGCTCCTGGTGTGTTTTTCAAGCCACAGGGCTGGGATTCAAAATGCATAGTCAGCCCTGTGTGATTCAGCTCTAAAGGAGCCCCACCAGGCCACAGGGCCAGCCCTTAATATTTTTAAACATCTGCCCCTCTGGTAGATACAGGGTATACCACTGTTTTAATCTGTAGTGTTTAAGCACACTGTTGTACATTTATTGGACATTTGTAACTCCTGTGAACTATTCATTCACTTAAATATTTGAAAAGACTTACTTTAAATTCTCAGAAACTGTCTTGGCTTTATTGTAGTGTCCTCCAACTGGATTTGCAGCAGCAATAATGGAAGTTCTTGCAGGAAGGCTACAAACCACGCCAGCCTTAGCAAGACTAATACTTTGCTGTTCCATGGCTTCTAACAAGGCTTGATGTTGATTCCCCATCTTATCAAATTCATCTATGCCACAAATACCTATAATCACAGAGAATTAAATAGAAAACATTTTCTTTGGTTAACTTCTAAATTTTACAAGCTATAAACTATTCCACAATAAAGAATTCTTTCCAGGGCCAGGAGATGGCATACTGGTTATAGCACTGGATTCCCACATGGCCAACCACAGTTCAAGTCCCAGACCCGGAGGCTTGAAAATCCCAGGAGAAGAATAGAGAAGGGATTGCAGCATAACTATCCCCCCTGGGAGGCTCACTTTCCCTCTCCTATCTTGCTTTCTAGCCAGCAAGTACAAATGCCTTATGGTAAAAACCTTAAAAATGGGGGGAGGAAAACCAGCAAATGGAGTTATGATTACATGGCTGGACTCCCACTTAGCTGACCATGGTTCAAGTCCCAGACCCGGCGGCTTAATAAACTCACACCAGGTGCATGTGCATGTGTGTCCAAAATCCTGAGAGGAGAATGGAGGAGAAGGGACTGTGGCATGGTCACCCCCTTGGGGGTTGATTTCTCACTTTCTGTCTCCCTCCAGCGAGTGCATGCAAAATCTCTTTAAAAAATTATTTTCATTTATTGTTAGTAGTTAAATGTTTTATAGCAAATACACTGATCTTACATAAGTTTCGTGTAAAATGTATTTATTTGGAATTTTCCATAGATAAGCCACTGTATTGCAGGGGCTACAAAAATGAAGATGATGACAGTGAGCCTCAAAAGTTGTAAGTTACGGGAACCAGCAGTTAGCGTAATGGCTATGTCGCTGGACTCCCACCTAGTAGACCGCGGTTCGTGTCCCAGACCCAGTGGCTTAAAACTCATGCCGGGCGCATGTGCGTGCGTGCCCAAGATCCCGAGAGGAGAATGGAGGAGAAGGGATTGCAGCGTGACCATCCCCCCTGGGGGGTGATTTCTCGCTTTCTGTCTCTATGTCTCTCTCTGTCTGGCGAGCGCACGCGCCCTACAGTGAAAATCTCTCAAAAAAAAAAAAAAAGTTGTAAGTTACATTACCTTATAACACTTTTTCCCCTCTTCTCTATACTAGCTGGGTTAGCAATTAGGAGGTCATCTCTGAAGGCCTTGCTGTGGTTAAACCACTCTGTGTCTACTGTATATGCAGCCAAGCCTTAGGAGCTCAGAAGTGTAAGTGGGAAATAACTGCCAACCGTCTTTTGCTTATTTCAAGATTTTCTTATATCTTTTGATCCACTTCTGCTTCAATTTTTGGATTCTCTACTTCATAACAATAAACCAGTAACCTCATGTTGAATTTCCTTTGTTCTTCCTTCCTATTGTTGACTCTATAGTTTAAGTTTGCTACTGGACATGTGCACTCACCAAGGACATGGAGAGACAGAGTGAGAAAGTTTCCTTTAGAAGGATAACCACATTACAATCCTTTCTCCTCCATTCTCCTTTTGGGATTTTAGCCACACATGCACACACACACCTGGGGTGTTTTTTTAAGCCACCCTCTCTAGGACTCAAACTACATTCAGCCATGTGGGATCCAGCCACCTTAACCCCCACATCATCAGCTGGCCTGACCCTCCAGTTAAACCTTGTTCTTTTCTTCTTAATTGACTGTGATTATCTCAAGCCTTGCCTTTACCACTGGTTAGGCTGGTACTGTCCAAATGCCTCTTGAACAAACAGAAAGAAATTAATTGAAAAAAAAAAGCTTTTATAGAAAATCCCAAAAATTACTAATTATTATTCCCTTTGGTCTCTCACCTTGATCACCAAGTACCAGGGCACCAGCTTCCAAAGCAAAATCTCCAGAGGAACTGTCTTTTGAAAGAGTTACAGTCAGACCAGAGGTGGTAGTGGTGTTACCACAAACATACACACCACGTGGAGCAACGTTGCATACTGCCTAAGAAAATGGAGAGTTGAAGAGAATCATCCAAAATGTTCCAAAGAATCATCCAGCTAGCAGGAATTGCTCACAGATGTTAGCTATGTGCCAGGTACTCTAACAAGTTTACTTGAAATCTTCACCACCACAAGAGAAAGGTGTTATTATATAGTCCCATTTACTGATGTTGAATCCAAGGCCTACAAAGAGTGAGGGAAGAACTACACATCAATAAAGGTAGGAAGCTGGGACTCAAATCAAGCCAAGGTAGTCTTGACTCTGAAACATATGGTCACGTGAACACAACACAATTCCATTTTATGCCTCATCTTCAAATGGAAGCGAAAAAAAAAAATGCCAATTTTAATTTTGAAGGCTCCAATCCTTCAAACATCAGGTAATAAAATGGTTCAATAAGTACCCACCTTCTGAACAGACAAGCTATGGTAGATCAGAAAAATAAACAGCGAGACCAACAGATGGTGTTAATGGTTACATCTCTGGACTCCCATGTCAACCGCGATTCGAGTCCTCAACCCAGCCAGGTGCATGTGCACACATGCCTAAGATTCCGAGAGGAGAGTGGAGGAAAAGGGACTTGGTGTGATCATCCCCCTAGGGGATGATTTCTCGCTTTCTGTCTCTCTGTGTCTCCGGCAAGCACACGCATACTATAGCAAAAATCTCTCTTAAAAGAAAGAAAGACTGGAGGGACTAGTGGATAGCATAATGGTTACATTGCTGGACTCCCTTAGTCAACCACAGTTCGAGTCCTGGATCCGGAGGCTTAAAACTCATTCCAGGCATGTGTGCATGTGTGCCCAAGGTCCTGAGAGAGAAGGGACTGCAGTGTGACCATCCCCCCCATGGGATGATTTCTCACTTTCTGTCTCTGTCTGTCTCTCTCTCCGGTGAGTGCATGTGCCCTAAAGCAAAAATTGCTCTAAAAGAAAAAAGAGAGAGAGAAAAGAGGGCCACTGGACTCTCACATGGCTGAATGTGGTTTGAGTCCCAGACTTGGTGGCTTGCTTTCTCACTTTCCTTCTCTCTCTCTCTCTTCTGGTAAAATTAAAAAGTTAAATAAGTAATTCTTTAAAAAGAAAAAAAAACTAAATAGCACAAAAGGTCAAAAGCATGGATCTGTGTATTCAGGCAGACCCATTTAAATCCTGGCTCCACAAGCACTGGCTGTGTGGCTCTTGGGCCTCTGGGGGCCTCAGCTCCCTTATGTTAATGACAGTGTTACCCTGGAGCGTAAATGAAATCATGTATGCAAGGCACCTAAGGTACTTGGTACACGGAAGTGCTCCGTGCAAAGCTGCTGTGCAGACCTCCAGTGACCCTACAGTGCTGACTCAATAGCCGTAAATGTCATTGTTTTTATTACTTTTAACTTGTTATTTGTTAGTCTTTCTGAGAAACCTTATAAAGCTTTGAGTGTCAAGGTTTACTAAATGATCAGAGGAAGACAAAATTAAAACTATAAATGGCTGTAAATAATTTAGGATGAGTCCAATTTGCTGAAACACTGGTTTAAAGGGGTTTATATTTAATACCCCCCACTGTTGACAATGTTTAATTTTTACTGTTACAGCTTCTGTTTTTAAAACTGAGTCAAGGGTTTTAATGTATTGATTTGTTTTGTTCTGTTTTGTTAATTTGGTACAGTGCACATGCACAAAAAGGGAAAGAAAGAAAGGGAAAGTGAGAAAGCATCCCCTTCAAGGAGGATGGCCACATCACAATCCCTTTTCCATGCTCCTTGAGATCTTGAACACACATGCACACACATTCGGTGTGTTCCTCAAGCCACTGAATTCAGGACTCAAACTGCACAGCCAGTCAAGTGGGATCTAGCCACCTTAACTACCATGTCACCAGCTGGCCCAAATTGAGCCAAGGGTTTTATTTATTTATTTTTTTGGAGATATATTTTGCTATAGAGTGCATGTGCACAATGGAGAGACAGAGACAGAAAACAAGAAATTACCCTCCAGGAGGGATGGCCATGCTGCAATCCTTTCTCCTCCACTCTCCTCTCAGGATTTTGAGCATGCACGCACCAGCACCCAGAGTATTTCAAGCCCCTGGACTCAAACCGTAATCAGTTGCATGGGAGACCAGTGACTTAACCACTACGCCACCTGCTGGCCCCAAGCCAATGGTTTTAAAGGCATTACTTCAGGTTTAAAAAACAGGGAAAACTGCCAGTGTCATTCTTGGTATTAACACTTTTTAGTACCACTAAATGTATTTGGAACCATCACCTGCCAAGAGACATTTCTTAAATAAAAGAAAAAAAGTGGAATTTTTGTATATTGTAATTTAAATTTTAAGATTTGTACAGGTAATAAAATAGGACACTGGGAATTACACCAGCCTTCTACCTATAATTTACTAATTAAAATTTTTTTTTTTTTTTTTACACACACACTGCTACAAAGACAGAAAAAAAACCTGCGACAATTCAGATCCACACACATGCCATTTCCTGCAGATTCCAGTTAAGTATCCTGCTTTCATTTTATTATGAACTTTGTTTTACTGGCAACTGGTGATTCTGGTGCACAGCCAGGGTTCCCAACTCCTGAGGAAAGATTCAGCAGCCAAAGGCACCATTTACCCAAGGGTCAAGGAGCCCCTGACCTAGTAACATTTTCCACACTAAGTAAGGAGGTGGGGAGAGGGGGAGGGGTCATGGGCCTTCTTAGAAAGAACATTACAGTCAGCTGACCAGGTGTCACCGGGGAAACCACAAGTTCCAGCAGGCAGCACCTCTGGAGCCATCATAAACCCAGGAGGGAAAAACCACTAGGCTCCCATTAGCAGAGGCAGAATCTTAGGGACCATAAGTTGCCTTGCTTGGACTCAGAATCAGTGAAGATGTATATGGACAGATCCTCTACCTCTGTTAAGACTGTTCTTGAAGCCAGATATATTGTTAATGCCCTGGTGTGAAGGGAGGATGAGTGGCTTTGCTTTATTTATTTCCCTGAACTAGTCTGCTCATAGGTGAGGTCACATCACAACAATAAAGACTAGCAAAGCAAAGCTAAATACAAGAAAAGGGACTGGGGAAATGGGTGATGCTTCATTACTGTCTGCCTGTGCAGGCTGTGTGGCAGGAGACTGGCTCCATTGCATTTTATAAGCAAAAGGCCAAACACTAAATGATTGATTTTCTACCTGTAGCATCTGACTCT